GCCTGCCCCCAAATATGTCCTTATCAATCCACCTTCCGTCTCATTATTAAAGACACTCTTTTGAGTCAAATCCAAGGTCTCCAAAAGGCTCTTATTAAAACATGTATGTAACATGGATGTGTTGACACCATTAACAAGTTGTCCCACTGGACCCTGATAATCCATTCTTTTAAAAGACCGGCGGGCAGGAGACGCTGGCCAGCCACAGACAGCTGCCAAGGGGCCACTGAGGATCTCCGGTTTGGGAGAAAACAGGTTGTGACCTCAAAACAAGCCCAGGTCAGGGTTTTCAAAACCCACCTTGAAAGCTACCCCATTCTCACTGTTTTTGCCCCAGGGTTCCCTTTCCCCAAATCTGTTTAGCTTAATTTATATGAAAGAACACAGACCTCTGGGGCTGAGTTTCAGTCTTATTCTGCCTCAGAGGAGTGTCCGGCTCCATTTTCTCAGCGGCACCATGAAACTGTGAATCAGGGGACCGAGAATCTTTCCAGTTCATTGTCTCGCTTTATCTCTACAGCCACCACATCCTGCTTCTCCCATCTCCTACTTCCTGGTTTTACCACCCAAGGAAAGGGAACAGAATGGTGCAGTTGGTTTCTGGGGAATGTTTCAGAAAGACATAACAAAGAAGAGAGGGCCAGGCTTGGTGGTTTGTGCCTGTAGTTCCAGCACTTTGGGAGGCTGAGGTGGGAGAATCGCTTGAGCACAGGAGGTCTAGGCTGTGGTGAGCCATGTTAGTGCCACTATATTCCAGCCTGGACAACAGAGTGAGACCCAGACCAAAACCAAAACAAAAAGAGAGACAGGAGAGGAGAGAGAGAGACCAGAAAAATCAGTGACAGGATGATTGTGGAGAGGGTAGAGGATTCACTCTAGGAGCCTGTGGTCCAGTCCCTGTGGGCTTCACAGGCCTGTCTACCTGCAGAGCTTCTTAAGCAGTACTCCACAGAAGCCCAGTGTCCCTACAATACCTGGAGGGGAGTGCCATGCACTTTTGGAAAAAAAATTCAGAGCTTCAACATTAAAGTTCCCACCAAATAGGCCGGATGCAGTGGCTCATGCCTGTAATCCCAGCACTTTGGGAGGCTGAGGCAAGAGGATCGCTTTAGCCCAGGAGTTCAAGACCTTGTCTCTACAAAAAATTTTAAAAATTAGCTGAGTGTGGTGGATCCTGCCTAGGTCCGGGCTACTCAGGAGGCTGAGGCAGAAGAATCGTCTGAGCCCAGGAGGTTGAGGCTATGGTGAGTCGTGACTGTGACACTGCACTAGACTGAGGACAGAGTGAGAACCTGACTCAAAAAAAAAGAAAAAAGTTTTTCTTCTGACAAAATGAAAATACTTCACTTTAAAAAAAAAAAAAAAAAAGACTAGCTAGGCGGCTGAGGCAGGAAGATCACTTATGTCCAGGAGTTTAAAACCAGTCTGGGCAATATAGTGAGACCCCCAGCGCGTGTGCGCGCGCGCGCGCACACACACACACACACACACACACACACCCCATTATCACAAGAAATGATTATCACTGGGCACTCCAGAGCCTCGGAACATCAAGCAAATAAGAGTCTAAAGCAGGGGTCATGAACTCAATGGCCTTCAGGGCGGGGCAGCAACACCAGATAAGTAGAGCAGCCTGGGTGGGTCCCCGCTGAGCTCAGCCACACCCAGTGCAGGTTGCTGTTATGCCAAAATGCAGGCCAAGGAGTGCCCAGTAAATTTGTAATTTTTAGTTTTGAGTTGGAATCTCACTCCATCACCCAGGCTGGAAGGCAGTGGTACACTCACGGTCACCCCAGTGTCAACCTGCTGGACTCAGGTGATCCTTCTGTGTCAGCCTTCCAAGTAGCCGGAACTACAGGCACGCGCTACCATGCCTGGCTCATTTTTTATTTATTGGAGCGAGAGGTCTCACCAAGTTGCCCCGGCGCGTCTCGAACCCGTGGGCTCAGGCAGTCCACTCACCTCAGCCTCCCAAAGTGCTGGGATTACAGGACGGCCACTTTTTTATTTTTTGAAAAATGATTCAGATAGCTAGATGCTTTATGTGCAATGCTTAATTTGTAAAAGTTGACGACTTAAAAAGCAAACAAATCAAAACCAAGACATTTTTCTGATAGCTACCCAGCACGTGATCGGCCTTGGCCCAGGGTGCCTCGGGTTACCATGTGGCACAGCTGGTCCTTTGAGGAACACTGCCGAGTCACTCAGATAGTCAGTCATTTGGAGGAGTTATCTTCAATTCATGCCGAGGGCAGGCCCACCCGGAGAGTTAAAGAGGCCCAACAGACAACTTGTGTTGGGTGGGATAAATATTTCAGATCCAATTGACTCAACTCTGTTTGTAAAAGCATGAGTTTTCTGCCTTCATCTTGACCTTCACTTAAATCTTGTTTTAAAAAACGAAGCAAGGTTTGGGCCAGGCACAGTGGCCTACGCCTGTAATCCCAGCATTTTGGGAAGCTGAGGTGGGAGGATTGCTTGATCCCAGGAGTTTGAGATCAGCCAAGGCAACATAGTGAGACTTCATCTTTACAAAAAAATAAAAAACTTAACTGGGTGTGGTGGTGTGTGCCTGTAGTCCCAGCTACTTGAAAGGCTGAGGCAGAAGGATTGCCTGAGCCCAGGAAGTCAAGGCTACTGTGAGCTGTGATTGTGCCACTGCACTTCAACCTGGGTGACAGAATGAGACCATGACTCAAAAAACAAAAAACCAAAACCAAACCAATAATAATAAAGTAAAAATTAAAAACAAAACAAGTTTTGTATAATATTTTAACACTATTTTACTTCTCACTGTGTTTATATGTAAACCTAAAACAAAAATCAAACAAACAAAAAATTCCTTATTTTATACAGGCCAATCTCAAGCCTTCTACTCTGTGCCAAGAATGAAATATTAGATTTCTAAGCAGTAACTCTTCTTTCTTTTCGTCTAATTTTCTTAACTGCTAATTTAAAAAAAAATTATTACATCAACTTAACCCCTGAAAGTTCACAAGGTATCATGGGGATTATATTTCAAAGAGAAAATGAGTAATACATTTCTTCCTTTGCTTTATAATTAATTATATGAAAATTATATTTTATTATATAATTTCATAATTATATAAATAAACAGTAGCTTTTTATATCTTTTAGTCAGTGATCATTTTAAATGTTAAAATAACAATGACCAGTGCTTATTTGGGACTCATGAGAGGGTGAATTCTCTTTGAATGATCTTTGAACCTACACAGAAAACAGTAACATATGGATAGTGCACCAGCCTCAGCCCCCAAAATATTTTTTGATTGAAGAAATGAACAGATAATAGTGGGAAAGAAATGCTAAAATAATTTGCAATGGGCAGATGCACCTTTTCCTCTAAGAAGTTACAGTAAGTATGTTGAGTTCATTATTGGGGCTCATGAATCTCTATGATGGCCAAGTGCACCATGGAGATGAGAACAGAAACCAGCTTCCCTCACTATCCAGACCAGTCATTCCAGCTTTAATATGCTTCATTTTTGTCACATTGATATATACAAACTCTCAACATTTTTCTTTGTCAACTCTCTATTTTATTCATTTGTATTACTATATGAACGAAAACTTCGAATCATTGGCAGATAGAAACACAATGTTATTTTAGTTTATTATTTTGAGTCAGGATCTCACTCTGTTGACCAGGCTAGAGTGCAGTGGCATGATCACAGCTTACCGCAGCCTCAGCCTCCTGGGTTCAGATGATCCCCCTGCCTCAGCCTCTCGACTAGCTGGGAAGACTGGCATGCACCACCATGCCCGGCTAATGCAAATTAAAAAATTTGTTTTTGTAGAGATGAGGTCTTGCTGTGTTGCTCAGGCTGGTCCTGAACTCCTGGGCTCAAGCAATCCTCCCGCCTTGGCCTCCCCAAGTGCTGGGATTACAGGCATGAACCACTGCGTCTGATAAATTTTATTGTATTTTAGTGCAATAGTTTTGCTTGCATCCCTAGAAAGGGAGATTATGGGCTGGGATACTTGGAAGACTGAGGCAGAAGGATCACTTGAGCCCAGCAGGTCAAGGCCATGGTGGCCATCAGCATGCCACTGCACTTCAGCCTGGGTGACAGAGTGAGACCCAACTCAAAAAATAAAAAATAAAAGAAAGGGAGATTATTAAAAAGGGTAAAAGATAGTAAAGACTTATTTCCATCAACATAAGATCTTTTCCTTGATGGACTCAAAGGATTAAAAGAGTGTTGGACAGGAATAACATTCTGTCGTGGAAAGACAGCACATTCATATACCACCAGAACTTGCCCCACACTGAGAAATTCTCATCTAACCAGCTTCCCTATTTACAGGTGGGCACAGGGAGGCGGAGTCGCTCAGTGACTTGTCCAGCTGCAGGACAGGGTCCCGACCCCACATCTCAGCATTCTTTCCACCGCACCCTGGACTGTCGAGGCCTTATCTCTCTAGCTCTCCTACTATGAGAAATACGGCTGTGTGAAACAGGAGTCCTGTGGCACAATCTGGGTGGGAGTGGGGAGGTGATGGACCTCAGAGACTGAGAACACAGCTGTGGTGTGGATGAGGAATCCAGGGGGCTGGCAGGGAGGGGAGTTATTATCCTTCATCCTATCCCAAGGACTCTTTACAGATGAGAAGGGAAATGACTTGTCCAAGTTCTCATAGCCTATCAGTGGCAGCGGAAAACACGCAGCCCCACCTTGGCCTTCTAAGCCTGCCTTCTGGATACGACTCCGCCCTGGCTTTCCAGCTCTGACATCAGTGTCTGTTTGTAAAACTTAAAGCAGTGTTCACAGCCTGTAAGTACGAGGGCTGTGGTGTTTTCAACAATGATCCTGACTGCTATTTTGCACTAGCAGGACGAGTCACAGCTTCACGCCTGCACCAGCTGCCCCCAGAGTCCTGGCTGGGGCTGGTAGCCCCTCTCCACCCCCACATTGCCCAGCACAAGGAGAACCAGTGCCATGGGGGGAGCTCTGGGGGAAGCCCCTGTGGTAACTCACCGCAAATCTCTTCCCACAGCTCTCATTGCCGCAGCACCCACAGCAGTCATTGTTCTTAAGGCCTAAGAACACCAGCGCAGGAAAGATCATCTAGCAGGGAGAGAGACATCTCAGAGCAGGTCTGGGAGGTGGCGGTGGGGGGCGGTTATTGCGGGCCCACCTGGCTGTGGGAGAGCCCCATCCACCATGTGGGCTTGGCGGCTGACTCAAGGGGACATGGCCAAGGTGTCAGAGCATGGCTGGAGAGGCACGAGATTCTATTTGGCCTGGCTGACTGCTCCAATGAGCAAGATTTCAAGATGTGACATTCCGAGTTCCCATTTAGATGGTGTGTTAGAACAAAGATAAGAAACCTGTCCTCAATTATCTTGAAAGTGAGTCTCTCTCTCTCTCTTTTTTTTTATTTTGTTGTCAGAGTCTCACTCTGTCGCCCAGGCTGGAGTGCAGTGGCATGCTCATGGCCACTGCAGACTCGACCTGCTGAGCTCAGGTGATCTTTCTGCCTCAACCTTCCAAGTAGCTGGAACTACAGGTGGGCGCCACCACACTTGCTAATTTTTTTATTTGTTGTAGAGACGAGGTCTTGCCAAGTTGTCCAGACTGGTCTCTAACCCGTGGGCACAGGCAATCCTCTCTTCTCCGCCTCCCAAAGCTCACGCTCTCGCTCTCCGCCCCCACCCCCTTAGCTGGAGGGTCCCACCTGTCTTGGGAACAAGAGATAAATAAATTATGAGTGTCTCAGTGGAAAAGGATCCCACTGATACCTGTTTCTCTTGGTGGTTTTAAGCCAATCAATTTGCTACAAAGCATCGTGTGGTTTTTTTGTTGTTGCGGTTTTTTAAGATTTTGTTGGCACTATCTTATTGGAATAAAGAAATTATGTGGTCTTTGGTTTGGTTCATACACCTCAAAAGACCCATGAGAACTGCCAGCCCAAGTTTGGGGATTAATTACTTAGTAAACGTAGTTGACGTTTCCTTCCTTGCTAGATTCTAACAGAGGGGGGAAACAAATTCAGGCACTGACTCCCCATCATGCAATACTTTAACTTCTGTTACCAATGAAATATCTTCCTGTTCAATAAGTACCTGATTTAGAAAGGATGGGTGTGCCGGGGTCATCGATAGGGGGGTTTTAAGGCTTCCCTACTCACCAAGACCCCGCTTCCTAATATTCCTCCGAAAAACCAGACCTCTTCGGAAAGGTGGTCGTTGTTGTCTATCACTTTTCCTCCAGGAAAGAATAGCAGGATGTTAGCCAGGAAGCTGCACACAGCCAGGGGAATGAGGGTGCCCCCCAGGCACTTGGCACAACTCCCAGTACACATGCTGGGGTCCAACAGCACAGGTCAGCGATCAAGTCTCCTCACTGCCTCTGTCACAGGGCTCTTCAAGCTTTTTGATCAGAACGTCCTAGGAATTGACCCCAGTTCAATCGATATCTTGGGGCTGAGAACCAAATTTCTATGAAATGTGTCCTTGGAAATGCCTCAGCCTTTCAAATATAGCAGAACCTTGATGGTGATGGACATTTATACATTCTCCCTGACCCGAAGTCCTTTTTTTTTTTTTTTTTTGCATCCTCATAAATGAGATTACGTTCAGAGCAATCATTAAATCGTTTTGCCATGGAGACCAATAACCTCTGTTAATAATCCACCAGCACAGACAAGAAGACACGGGCATTATTGCGATCGAAGACAGGGCTGGAACAAACAGCATTTGGAACCACTGCGCCTTTAATCTGACAGTGTCCCTGCGCAAAAAAGAAATATCTCCCCCAGGCTCTTGATAAATCACTCGTATAAATGAGTTACATCCTTGTTAAAAACATCTCTCCCACATACTTAATGGTGTACAGTGCGTGTCTTTGTCTTTTCTGCTGAAACACAGGGCTATTCTTTTTTTTTTTTTTGAGTTGGAGTCTCACTCTGTCATCCAGACTGGAGTAGAGTGGCCGCTCCTGGCCACCGCAGCCTCAACCCGCTGGGCTCCGGCGATCCTTCCGCCTCAGCCTTCCAAATAGCTGGAACCTCAGGCGTGCGCTACCATGCCTGGCTTATTTTTTGATTTATTGTAGAGACGAGGTCTTGCCAAGTTGGCCAGGCGGGTCTCGAACCCGCGGACTCAGACAATCCACTCACCTCAGCCTCCCAAGGCACGGGATTACAGACTGAGCCACAGAGTTTGGCTAACACAGGGCTATTATTAAGAGCTTCTGTTTTCTCTGTAGCTACATAACTTCATGGTCTAGCTGTGTATTGTTGCACTCAGACTTAGAGGAAATTTTTTTAAAAGGATAGAATCAGAATAACTGTTCACTTTATTGCCTGATTGCTATCTGTCTCTACTTGTTACTCAGTGAAGTAATTAAGTTCTACCTCCTTCCCTATGCGATGTGGTGAAATTAGCAAAAACAGTTTCCTCATTATCTTGTTTGGCAACATCCTCCATGGAGGAATAAGAAGTCCACTCCATTCACCCAGGCTAGGGGAGAGGAAGGCGGTGCTGGGTAGAGAAAGAAAGGAGAAATTCGGATGTGTCGACCAGAGGCAGAGAGGACAAAGTTGGAGGAGCAGCCAGGGAGCATGGGAGAAGGCAACACGCATCACAGTTGGAAATGTTGCCAACTGCAAGGTCATGATTCATTATCAACTTCTTTTGTGTCACTTCAGAAGATTTCTGCCACACCTGGACCAACCTCTATGTTATGCGACAGCCCTGCTTGGTACTGCTATTACATAACAGCTGAAGGATTAAGGGCTGGAACACAGAGTCTTGCTAGTTCTTCAATGAGAGTCTAAAATCAAGAACCACAGGCAGAATTTTTTAGGGAGTCAAATTTTAGTTAAACAAGAAGCAAGTAACCTCATGACCATGGCGAGAACTGTCCTGTGATGGAGTTGGCCACCCACTCCCAGGGAAGCCATGGTCTGGGCTCTGCCAAGGCTCAGTGACCCTTGGTCAGGGAAGCTGTGGGGAGGATTCCAGGGACGTCACATCGGATGGTCGCTGAGTTGCCTTCTTTTTTTTTTTTTTTTG